AATGGTGGTTTGACCCCAAATGGGGTCCCGACCCACAGGTTGAGAACCACTGCAATGGAGGATGAGCAAATTCTGCCCAAAAAAAACTTCCTGGGTGAAAAATGCCTCTTTGCCAAAAGGTGGATCACAACAAATTGTGGCAAGTTCTTAAAGAGAAATGGGAGCACCAGACCATCTTATCTGTCTCCTGAAAAACCTATATGTGGGTCAAGAAGCAACAGTGAGAACTGGACACAGAACCACTGATTGGTTCAAAATTGGAAAAGGTGTCCAGCAAGGCTGTATACTGTTGCCCTGCCAGTTTAACTTATATGCAGAGCACATCATGAGAAAGGCAGGGCTAGATGAATCAAAAGTTGGAATTAAGATTGCCGGGAGAAATATCAACAACCTAAGATATGCAGATGATACCACTCTAATGGCAGAAAGCGAAGAGGAACTAAAGAGCCTCTTGATGCGGGTGAAGAAGGAGAGTGCAAAAGTTGGCTTGAAACTCAACATTAAGAAAACCAAAATCATGGCATCCGGCCCTCTCAATTCCTGGCAAATAGATGGGGAAGAAATGGAGGTAGTGACAGATTTTATTTTTCTGGGCTCCAAGATCACCACAGATGGGGACTGCAGCCAAGAAATTAAAAGACGCTTGCTCCTGGGGAGGAAAACTATGGCAAATCTAGACAGCATTCTAAAAAGCAGAGACATCACCCTGCCAACAAAAGTGCGTATAGTCCAGGCCATGGTTTCCCCAGTTGCAATGTATGGCTGTGAAAGTTGGACCACAAGAAAGGCTGAGCGCAAAAGAATGGAGGCCTTTGAACTCTGGTGCTGGAGAAGACTCCTGCGAGTCCCCTGGACTGCAAGGCGACCAAACTGGTCAGTCCTGGAGGAGATCAACCCCGACTGCTCTTTAGAAGGCCAGATCCTGAAGTTGAAACTCAAGTCCTTTGGCCACCTAATGAGAAGGAAGGACTCACTGGAGAAGAGCCTAATGCTGGGAAAGATGGAGGGCAAGAGAAGAAGGGGACGACAGAGAATGAGATAGCTGGATTGAGTCACTGAAGCAGTAGGTGTGAGCTTCAATGGACTCCAGAAGATGGGAGAGGACAGGAAGGCCTGGAGGAACGTGGTCCATGGGGTCGCGATGGGTCAGACACGACTTCGCAACTAACAACAACAACAAACGAGGCCAACAGGTAATCTATTAAGCAAGTCACTGGGTAGCCTGCGTTAACTACAAACTATTTTGGCGGGGGGAGAAACAATTGAGTTTCTCACAGAGCAAATCTATTACACTCCTCAATTTATGACCACAATTGTTCCTCTCCGAAGGAGACGGGCGGTTAAATAATATGAAATGTAAATTAAAAAATAAAATGGGACCGAAAAAAATCTATTGTTAAGCAGTGCGGTCGTGCAGCGAGGCACCATGATTGCACCCTATTTTTCCTCTTTTTTTTTTTTGGCATGTTCGTTAAACAAATCGCTGCGGTCATTAAATGAGACACCAAGTGACCATAACCTGAGACTTTTTTCTCCTGTCGGTTTGGCCACTGATGGTGCTTGTCGTAAGCTGACTGGGAACACAATTAAGCTGCTGTGTGAAATCAACAGACGGCTGCTGTGTGCACAGCTGTGCTCCAGATGTTTCGGTGGGAGGTGGCTGAGACCACCAAAGGACAACAAGGCCCATCCAGAGAGAACCTTATTCTCTCATTTTCTCCAATGCCTTTAAAAAAGAGGACCACAGGAAGTCCTCGGCTTACGACCCACAAGGGAGCAATTTCCATTGCTAAGCGAGACCGTTGTTGAGTTTTGCCCCCATTTTACAACCATTCTTGCCACGGGTGATAAGTGAATCACTGAACTTGTTAAGCTATTAACACGGTCGTTAAGCGGATCTGGCCTCCCCTGATGACTTTGCTTGTCCAAACGTCGCAAAAACGGATCACGTGACCCCCCCAGGATGCTGCGCCCATCATAAATATGAACCGGTTGCCAGGTGCCCAAATATTGATCACATGATTATGGGGATGCTGCAAATGGTCGTAAGTGTGAAAAACGTTATGTCATTTTTTTTACTGCTGTTGTAACGGTCACTAAATGAACTTTTGTAAATGACTAGCTGCATTATTACAAGCATAGGCTGTTAGGCTGATTCCTTCTGATGTTCTGCTGGCAGAAACTAGAATATTAGGACAACAGAATAGACAATGGAATGGAATGGAATAAAGAATAGAATAGGATAGGATAGGATAGGATAGGATAGGATAGGATAGGATAGGATAGGATAGGATAGGACAGGATTACAGAATAGAATAGAATATGGAATGTGGAATATAATATGGAATATGAAATATAGAATAGAATAGAATAGAATAGAATAGAATAGAATAGAATAGAATATGGAATATGGAATAGAATAGAATAGAATATGGAATATGGAATAGAATAGAATAGAATAGAATAGAATAGAATAGAATAGAATAGAATAGAATAGAATAGAATAGAATAGAAAATATAGAATAGAATAGAATAGAATAGAATAGAATAGAATAGAATAGAATAGAATAGAATAGAATAGAAAATATGGAATGGAATGGAATAGAATAGAAAATATGGAATGGAATGGAATGGAATAGAATAGAATAGTTGGAAGGGACCTTGGAGGTCATCTAGTCCAATCCCCTGCTCAGGAGTTTCTCCAGTTCCGTCACTGCATTCACCATTATCTCATGTCGCTTTCCATCAAATAAAAGCGACAGTCCCCCACTTATAACCATTCATTTAGCAATTGTGATGGTATAAGTTCTCCTGCTTAAGCGGGGAGCTGGACTAGAAGACCTCCAAGGTCCCTTCCATATTCCTATTCTATTCTATTCTATTCTATTCTATTCTATTCTATTCTATTCCATTCCATTCCATTCCATTCTAAACTAACTTAGTCCTCACACAGACAACAAAAATTGCGTTACAGGTAGTTCCCAACTTACGACCGCAATAAGCATAGCATTTTGGTTGCTAAGCCATGCAGTCATTCAGCGGGTCGTCACACAACCACGCCTGATTTGACCATCACTTTTGCTGCGGTCGTTAACCGGATCCGGCTTCCCTCTCTGACTTCGCTTGTCAGAAGCCAACTGGAAAGCTCACAAATGGCAATCGCATGACGGCGGGATACGACAACCATCGCAAATGCGAGCTGGCTGCCCAGCCCCCAAATTGTGATCCCTTGACCACAGAGAGGGTGCGACGGTCGTAACTTTGAGGACAGGCCGTAAACCACTTTTCCCAGCTCTGTCGTAACTCTGACCTGTACTTACAGAAACAGTCGTAAATCGAGGACCATCTGCCCTTGGAATGTAACGGGGTCTCAGCTATACAAAAGCGACCCACAATATCAGTTAAGGTTTATAGGTTAAATTATAAAATCCCAATTTGGGGGGCTCCAGGACACGTGATAGAGGGAGTATCTAGGGGAGTAAATTTGGATAAGATTTCTTATAAGGAATTACTTAGTTTGGTTGGGCAGCATTGGCAATTAAAGTCTTTAACTGAGTTGAAGCAAGAAAATATTGTATATTTTTGGTTTTATTATAACCAATTGTTAGTGAGATGGAGTATAGATCAAAAGGTTGGTATTACTTTAGGGGATGTGAATTTGGTAAAACAGATTAAAGATCAAAGTCGAGCTCATATAAAAAGAATTTATAATGTTTTAATAGAATTGGATTCTGAAACAGAGTTAAAGACTATATGATCAAATGGGCACAAAATATTCAAGAGCCGATTTTATTGGATACACGGGAGACAATTTGGGTTAGAAATGTAAAATTTACTCAAGCGCAAATTTAAGAGGAAATTTTTATAAAATGTTTTATAGGTGGCATTTGGATCCCCCAAAATTGTCCCACATGTATCCGAATTTACAGCCCAAATGTTGGAGATGTGGAAATTTAGATGCAACCTATTTTCATATTTGGTGTAGAGATATTAAAGCTTTTTGGATTAAGATTTGGTGGAATATTCAAAAGATTTTTAAGAGAAAGATAAAGTTTACTCCGCAATTATTTTTGTTGGGTATTATTGTAGATTTTGATGTTAAAGAAACTAATTTGATGCTGAACCTTATAACAGCTGCAAGATTATTGGTGGGGCAATATTGGAAGAAAAACTTATTGCCTACCTTGGAAGAATGGATACTTAAAGTGTCTAATTTAGCAGATATGGCGAAAATCTCCACCTACTTGAAGGACCATTCACAAGAAAAATATATTATGGTTTGGAGAAGATACATTGATTATACTCAGAAGCAATATGAAATTGAAAAGTATTATCTTGCGTTTGAGTAGATCTTAGATAATTATTATTAGTTTTAATTATATTATTATTTTTGATTTAATTTGTTAATATTTGTTTTGAGAAGGAGTTAAAGTGTGTTATGGTGTTGATTGATAGTATAGTTGGTTTATGTTAGTTAGATTATGTTTGTTTATTTCAGTGGTTCTCCACCTGTGGGTCAGGACCGCATTTGGGGTCGAACGACCATTTCACGGGGGTCGCCAAACAATGCAGTCCGCCATTTTTACCCCCCTTTTCCTTAGCTGTGCCACTCCCTTTTATTCTATTGGCTTTTGAAAGCCAATAGAATAGACTCTCTTGAATAGAGTCTAACTCTATTGGCTTCCAAAAGCCAATAGGAATTGTCCAGGCTGTCTCTGCCCTGCTGAGCCCGCCAAAAGTCCCCTTCTGCAAACGGTGCTCCACCGGTTGAGTAGTCCTCGACTTACGACCGGTTGGGGGTCGTGGCATTAAAAAGGTTGAGAACCACTGGTTTATTTTATTTTTTACCCTGTAATCAGCTCTGGGAAGTGGGGGAGGGGGGAAGGGGTGGGGGTTTATATTGTAATAAATTTATAAAACTTTTAAATAAATTAAAAAAAAATATCAGTTAAGGTTAATTGCAAGGATTCTCGATGCTGCGTTGAAGCAAAGAAACTCACCAGGGTGCCCAGCCCATCAGTCGGGGTGGGTGAAACGCTTTGCGACGTCCCTCCGTCGTTGCCGCCCTCCGCATTGCGGGCGCCGAGTTGGGGGGACATGGTGGGCGATTCGTCGATGTAAGGCATGGCTTCCGAGCCGCCGGGCCGAACACGGATCTCCTCGTTGCCCTCCGCATCGTACTCCTCCGTGCCGTAATTGAAGTCTGGGAAAAGGAAGGAAGGAACCAGCATTGGTGGCGAGAAAGGATAAGGAGACGGACAAAGCTGGGATTTAGCTACCCAATCGCCAGGCGACGGTGAGTTCTAGTCCCGCCTTAAGCATAAAAGCCAGCTGGTTGACCTTGGGCCAATCGCCAGGCGACAGTGAGTTCTAGTCCCGCCTTAAGCATAAAAGCCAGCTGGGTGACTTTGGGCCAATCGCCAAGCGACAGTGAGTTCTAGTCCCGCCTTAAGGATAAAAGCCAGCTGGTTGAACTTGGGCCAAGAAGAGACTGGACAGCCATTTGTCTGAAATGGTGTAGGGTTTCCTGCCTGAGCAGGGGGTTGGACTAGATGACCTCCAAGGTCCCTTCCAACTTTACTACTATTACTATTACAATCACCAGGCGACAGTGAGTTCTAGTCCCACCTTAAGTATAAAAGCCAGCTGGTTGAACTTGGGCCAATCGCCAGGCGACAGTGAGTTCTAGTCCCGCCTTAAGCATAAAAGCCAGCTGGGTGACTTTGGGCCAATCGCCAAGCGACAGTGAGTTCTAGTCCCGCCTTAAGGATAAAAGCCAGCTGGTTGAACTTGGGCCAAGAAGAGACTGGACAGCCATTTGTCTGAAATGGTGTAGGGTTTCCTGCCTGAGCAGGGGGTTGGACTAGATGACCTCCAAGGTCCCTTCCAACTTTACTACTATTACTATTACAATCACCAGGCGACAGTGAGTTCTAGTCCCACCTTAAGTATAAAAGCCAGCTGGTTGAACTTGGGCCAATCACCAGGCGACAGTGAGTTCTAGTCCCTCCTTAAGCATGAAAGCCAGCTGGATGACTTTGGGCCAATCACCAGGCGACAGTGAGTTCTAGTCCCACCTTAAGTATAAAAGCCAGCTGGGTGACCTTGGGCCAATTACCAGGCAACAGTGAGTTCTAGTCCTGCCTTAAACATAAAAGGCAGCTGAGTGACTTTCAGCTAATCATCAGGAGACTGTGAGTTCTAGTCTCGCCTTAAGCATAAAAGCCAGCTGGGTGACTTTGGGCCAATCACCAGGCGACGGTGAGTTCTAGTCCCACCTTAGGCACAAAAGAAGACTTGATTTGAACTCATTCTTTCAATCACCTCCACCTTAAAGACACCCCCAAAACTTAAGACCAAAAAGTTTTAGATCTGCACTGAGCTGCAAGATTTACAGGCAGCCCTCGATTTATGACAACGGAGGCCCCAATTTTTGTCTCTGGGTGAGTCCGTTGTTAAATGAATTTTGCCCCGTTTTACGACTTATCTTGCCACAGTTGTTAAGTGAATCCCTGCCGTTGTGACGTTCGTCACAGAGTCGTTAAGCGAATCCGGCTTCCCCCTATTGACTCCGCTTATCAGAAAGTCGCCCAAGGGGATCACGTGACCCCGCCCCCGGGACACGGCGACCATCGTAAGTACGAGTCAATGGCCGAGCGTCTGAATTTTGATCACGTTGGATGCTGCAACCGCCTCGTCAGGGTGGAAAAAGTGTCCTAAGTCGCTTTTTTTCCAGTGCTGTTTCAACTCCGGTCGCTAAACGAATCCTCGTTGTAAGTCAAGGACTACCTCCATTGCAAAGGGGAGAGCCCCAAACTCAAAGGAGGAACTCTTGAGTTGCAAGCAGGGAAGCCAACATCGTTTCCATTCCTCGTCTCTCCCCTTGCCCTTCCCTTCTCTCCCCCCCCCCTCCATGGCATTGCCTTTCTAAGCCTCCCCACCACCCCCATGCCCCCCCATAAGCCCCCCTCTCTCTGACATACTTCCCCGCAATTATTTACGCCTGCTTGAGCCCCCCCCACCTCCTCCCTGGCACCAGCCCCCGCTGGACACTGTCCAAGTCCAAAAGTGGGTCAGCTTGGGAAAGGAAGCCTGGCGCTCCAGTGGGGGGGTGGGGGGAACCAAAAACAAAGACTCCTCCCCTCTTCCTCCCCACCTTGAAAGTGAGTCAGGGGGTCTGAACAATGCCCCCCCCACACCTTGGGGAGGGCGGGAAGGGAAATAAAATATTTGTCGGAAATAAAACACAGGGCACAGGACAGCGTCCACATTTTGCTGCTCAGAAACAGAGAGAGTGAGAGAAGCAGAAGGGATGAGTTGGGGTGGGATGGCCATGGGGGTGGGGGTGGGGGGGCTAAGGGGGCTAGGACCCATTTCCTCCAGTTCCAGAAGGTGCGATATAGGGAGTCCTCGACTTACGACCATCGTTTAGCGACCCTTTGAAGTGACAACCACGCTGAAAAAAAGGGCTGATGGCCAGTCCTCCCATTTACGACCATCGGAGCATCCCCCATGGTCACCTGATTAAAATTTGGCCTCCTTCCTTCCTTTACTTCCTTCCTCCATCCCTTCTGTTCTTTCTTTCTTTGGCTTCCTTCCTTCCTTCTCCTTCTCCCTTCCTCTTTTCTTTCCTTCCATCTCCATTTTCTCTTTTTCTTCCTCCCTCCCTCACTCCCTGCCTTCCTTCTCCTCCCTTCCTCTTTTCCTTCCTTCCATCTTTCTTTTTTTCTTTTTCTTTCTTTCCTCCCTCTCCCTTTCTTCCTTCTCCTTCTCCCTTCCTCTTTTCCTTCCTTCCATCTCTTTTTCTTTCATTCTTTTTCTTCCTCCCTCTCCCTTCCTTCCTTTCTTCCTTCTCCTTCTCTCTTCCTCTTTTCCTTCCTTCCATCTCTTTTTTCCTTTCTTTTTCTTTTTCTTCCTCCCTCTCCCTTCCTTCCTTCTCCTCTCTTCCTCTTTTCTTTCCTTCCATCTCTTTTTCTCTTTCTTTCTTTTCTTTTCTTTCTTTCTTTTTCCTTTCTTCTCCTCTTTTCCTTCCTTCCATCTCTTTTTCTTTGTTTCTTCCTTCCTTCCTTCCTTCTCCCTCCCTTCTCCTTCTTCTTTCCTTTCTTCCTTCTCCTTTTCTCTTTTCCTTCCTTCCATCTCCGTTTTCTTTCTTTCTTTCTTTCTTTCTTTCTTTCTTTCTTTCTTTCTTCTTTCATTTCTCTTTCTTTCTTTTTTCTTTCTTCCTTCCTTCCTTCTCCCTCCCTTCTCTTTCCCTTTCTTCCTTCTCCTTCTCTTCTTTTCCTTCCTTCCATCTCCGTTTTTCTTTCTTTCTCTTTTTCTTTCTTTCTTTCTCTTTCTTTCTCTCTCTCTCTCTCTCTTTCTTTCTCTTTCTTTCTTTCTTTCTTTTCCTTCTCTCTCCCTTCCCCTTCTCCCTTCCTTTCTTCCTATCCATCCATCCATTCCACCTTTCTTATTCTTAAATAAGTCCAGGCACCAAACATACCCAATGAGGTTACAGGACCAATTCTTGCCCAGCTATAGAACATTTTTGACATAAGCCTGGAAGCCCGAACCTTCCTCACAGGCTTGTTGTGACGGTAGAAGCAGAGCAAGGGGTAAAGAGATGCTCAGATCTGTGCTCCAGTTTTTCAGGCCTTCCCCAAGCGGATGAAAAAGGCAGCTGTTCCAGATGCAAGGTCAGCCGGTCTCCCAATGATATCATTGCAAATCCTTGTCACATCATCAGGATCCTTTTTACCAGCTTGCATGCGTAAATGTTTGCAAGTTACTGCTCTTTAATTGCCTTTGATTGCTTAAAGCTGCTGGAACTGGAAAGATGAGTGAGCGCATAAATACAATCAGCACCTTGTTTTGTGAGTCGGAACTTCCTGGAAGCGAGCAGAGAGGACAAATGAGGTCACATAATCTTATATTTTATCTTTCTGGGCTCCAAGATCACCCCAGATGGGGACTGCAGCCAAGAAATTAAAAGACGCTTGCTCCTGGGGAGGAAAGCTATGGCAAATCCAGACAGCACACTAGAACACGCGGCTGTGACCAGCGGTAGGATGCATGGAGCCCATCTATCAAGCGGTCTTCAAGGCTCTGTCCAGGGTGAGTAGATCCGTCTGCAAGACTCGTCACGGAGCATCCTTATCACATTTATCAAACTTTTCACTTAGACGTATCTTAATTACATCCAATCTTCATAAACAATCCATATCCTGTTATTAATTTGTACCCAGTTTTTAGTTTCCCGTTGATATTCCAATTTAACCTTTGATATTTATAATATTTATAATATTATAATATCAACAACCTAAGATATGCAGATGATACCACTCTAATGGCAGAAAGCGAAGAGGAACTAAAGAGCCTCTTGATGCGGGTGAAGAAGGAGAGTGCAAAAGTGGGCTTGAAACTCAACATTAAGAAAACCAAAATCATGGCATCCGGCCCTCTCAATTCCTGGCAAATAGATGGGGAAGAAATGGAGGTAGTGACAGATTTTATTTTTCTGGGCTCAAAGATCACCTCAGATGGGGACTGCAGCCAAGAAATTAAAAGACGCTTGCTCCTGGGGAGGAAAGCTATGGCAAATCTAGACAGCATTCTAAAAAGCAGAGACATCACCCTGCCAACAAAAGTGCGTATAGTCCAGGCCATGGTTTTCCCAGTTGCAATGTATGGCTGTGAAAGCCGGACCATAAGAAAGGCCGAGCGCCAAAGAATGGAGGCCTTTGAACTCTGGTGCTAGAGAAGACTCCTGCGAGTCCCCTGGACTGCAAGGCGATCCAACCGGTCAGTCCTGGAGGAGATCAACCCCGACTGCTCTTTAGAAGGCCAGATCCTGAAGTTGAAACTCAAGTCCTTTGGCCACCTAATGAGAAGGAAGGACTCACTGGAGAAGAGCCTGATGCTGGGAAAGATGGAGGGCAATAGAAGAAGGGGACGACGGAGAATGAGGTGGCTGGATGGAGTCCCTGAAGCAGGAGGTGTGAGCTTCAATGGACTCCAGAAGATGGTGGAGGACAGGAAGGCCTGGAGGAACGTTGTCCATGGGGCCGCGATAGGTAGGACACGACTTCGCAACTAATGTGCTCTCAAGTCTGAATCCTCCCTTGGTGTTGTGCCTTCACACACGCCTCTAAAACACTATAATTGCTCCTCGCTGGCGGAACAGATTACAAATTAATATAGTTTACAGGAGCGCTTTCCAACTTT